CAAAAAAGTAGGGTTTGGTAGTTTAACGTAAAGATTTAATCTAGAGTTCGACCCAGCGTTTGAATGGGGCATGGGGTCGATAAGGTTTACATCGGCAGGGCGAATCGAAGGTTTTGACCTACTGGCTCTTTCCTTACTTCCCCAATAAGCCAGGGAAATAAAAGGGTAAACTTTCAGATTACTACCAGATTCTCAGAACCCAAAAAGGCTTAAAGGTTGGGTATTGGGGAACTAAGCTTTCTTGTCTTAAGATCTCTTGCGCAGTAGCGGAGGGCTCGGAGGTCGAATTTCGTGGCCTGGCTAGCGGCGTATTTCCCTAAGGCTCAAAATAACCCAAAAGCCTTATATAGTATGGTCTTTGGGCCCAAAAGCCTTAAAATATGAGTCCTTGGAGCCTTCGGGTTTTTCAGTGAATCTATACTACTTGAACGAACTTCCCGCCAAAAAAGTCCTACCGCGGTAGGGTTAATGGCTAAGGATTTGCGGCTTGGGTGTAGGGCTAGGATTTGGGTTTAGGGTTTTAGGGTTTAGGGGTTTTAGGGTTTATAGCGGTTTGGGGTTTAGGATTTAGAGATTTTGGGTTTAGGGTTTCGAGTTGAGGGTTTGGGGTGCCGAAGTTGGACCGCAAGTCTCTTCGCCGAGATCTCTCCGAGTCGCTAGCCTCAAACCAGTCCCCGAAACTGGAAAACCCACAGATCCGAATCATAACTTCTTGAGCTCACGGGTTGAGGGGAACAGCTCCGTCTTGTGTGCAACACTAAACCGCTCCAACCCCCAAAACCTAGACCCTTACACTTTGTGTTGGATTGGTTTAGGGGTTAAGTTTTAGGGTTTTGGGTTCAAAGTTTAGCGTTTTTGGTTTGTGGTGCGGCGAACAATCTGTGAAAGCGAACCCCATAGCCAGTAGGTAAATGCCTTATAATCAGGTGCCCTTAGCAAAGCACTCGTAGAAAAGCCCTGAACCCCTCAGACAAGCTGGTAATTAGAGCCTAAGCACTAAATTCTATAACCCTAACCCCCCCAAACCCTAAACCCTAAACCCTAAACCCCATACAGTACCCTAAATCCTAAACCCTAAACCCGAAACCCCCCAAACCCTAAACCCTTTACCCTAAACGATATACCGGTATATAAGGCAGGCTTGTTGAGGCTCTGCTCTGAATCGAGATTGAAGTGCGAACCCGCCGCACCTGGAACTCCTCAATCACCTGCTCCATAGCCTCCGGCTGTTTAGGAATTAGGGTTTTGGGTTTAGGGTTTGGGGTTTAGGAGTTAGGGTGGAGGGTTTAGGGTTTTGGGGTTTAGGAGTTAGGGTGCTCAACTCCAGCGCGGGGGGTTGAGACTACTACATAGCAGGCATTTATGGGAGCCCATAAGCACCCAATATAGGGGCCTCAATAATCAGGGTTTTGGGGCGCATTATACTATAGTTATAATAAGGAACCCCCAAAATAGTATTGGTAGTTATTTAGGCCCCTACATTAAACCCAAACTGTTGAAGCATAAAGGGGCAAGTCTCTTATCTTGGTTTCAGTATTTGCGATCTTCAGGTGCAGCATTGACCCTGGGGGCCCAGCTACCTATACATATATATATATATATATACACATACATATATATATATATATACAAACATACATACATACGTACATATATATATATATATATACATATATATATATATATATATATATTATATGGGGTGCTGCCCCCTGAAACCCTATAAAAACCTTATAGTACGCAGATAAAGCCAGTAGCTTACGATATAGGGAAGTGGGCTCCCAGGGTAAGGTGCGGCAGCAAAGGCTTATACCCCTAGGCTCCATTGTAGTTTCTGTTGGGCTTATCTTTAAGGATCCTAAATATAAACCATGGAACTGCAATTTCGCCTATGAGTAGAGTCTAGCAGCGAGGTGTTGCGCTATCAGGGCTGGGGTCTTAAACTCATAGCGGTTTAGGGTTAGGGTTACGAAACACTTCAACCCTCATGAGGACTACGCAAAGGACGAGTCAGAGTTGAGACTGGGTAGGGCTGCAACTTCCTCTATGGCTGGAGGTGGGAGGCAAGCCTTAACCCGCCAAGAGCTCGAAGCCTTGCATGGAGCACACGTGTCTGCTAAACTGCTGAACGCTGGACCTATCTTGAAGAACCCCAAGTCTAATCCACACAAAATCCTAACATCGTCGCTCAGCGCGCTGAACTCCTCTGTCGACGCGAAAAACAGACCGCCTCCACAACGGCCACCGGGGTGTGGAGCTTGGAGGCGCGCTCCTGCGGCGAGCGGCAGCGAAGTCTGCTGCGTCGTTTTGGTCTGTTGCCTTCAGTATCGGAACGTATGAGGTGTTACAACAACTAATGGACGGAGGCTACCTTAACCCACAGAACAACTTGGCTTTTTGAGGTTCCTTTTTATGATTTCCCTATATGAGTATAAGCGTGCGTTAATTAGGATGTTTGGGGCGAAGGTATACTTGCATTTCGATTGTGTGCCGCAACACGAGGGCTGACTAGGCAGCAGGCTTACATGCTGGCCAGCAGTCCCGACGGTGACCCTAAAAGCAAAACTCACTGCGAGTATGAAGACTAGTGTTGCTGCTGTTGCATGCGTTGCCCTCACGTCCTGTGCGACTAGTTTGTACCAACTGCGCTATATCCGGAGTACTTCATCCAACTCAATGCTTTAAGTTGGCCGATCACTTCCTTCTACTGTGATGTCCACTCCTGTTAGATGACCGCTATGTTGCTAGCAGTGCCTTTAGTTGTCGTATCGAGACTTGAAACGCAAGTTCCCAGCACAATAGTTCTGTTTACGAAGCCCTGCTTGTACGCAAACCTGGGCTCCAGTGTCTGAAGTAGCCACTACCCACATGCCCAAAGCATGGCCTCATGTCAGCAAGCTTAAATACACAGTTGCTTCTTTTTCTAAGTGCAGAGTCGACGGGAGGTCTCCACCGCGCAGGTGTGCACAATAATTTGACAGCCAACGCCTTCGCATATGGGCACGCCAGATGCGAGATGTGGCGCCGCTCTCGTGTCCTAGCGAAGCAATCCTTCTCCAATGGGCTGGGGACCAGCTAGCCACCTTGCGACAACGATTAAGTACCTAGGTGCGATTTTTAACTCGTCTCACACTTCGGACACACATCTCACGAACCAGTATCCTAGGTACAACACGAGCTTCGATTGTTGTTCAGCATCTTTTCGGCGGGTTCATGTACCAAAAACCTTACAAAGTGACAGGACATCACAGAAAGAACATTGATGCATCTGACCTTCGAAATAAAATATTTATAGTATTCCTTTAACCCTAAACTCTAGAAACCCTAAACCCTAAACCCCAACCCTAAAACCTAAACCCCAAGCCCATTTTAAGAGCTCGGCCATTGCAGCTACCTCTTTCCGAGCTCTGGCGGATTCCTCCGCACGTCTGCGATGCCAGAAACGAAAGCAAGCCTCGACGCCCGACTTCGACTACAACACATGCGTGGTTGTCAAAATTATGGTCCCTTTTGGGGTCCTTATTATAATACGGCACCTATTATTTAGGGTACCCGCAAAAGGGACCATAATTTTGACAACTACCCACATATTTAGGGTTTAGGGGTTTGGGTAATCATGATCAGGCGTATACAAGTCCACAAAACCCTAAACAGTCTTAAACCCTCTGCTGATGCTCTGTCATGGTGGCCACGAGCTGGGTCGCTGGGTCGCCACTCATTGGCGCTCTGAATCAGGTTGTAAGGCTTCGGGTTCGGCGGGCCTATGGGTTTAGTGTTTACGACTAGGGTTCCAGATGACTCGCTAGGGGCTTGCCACCGGGAATTAACTTGGGTCCCTTGGGTGGCGAGAATCCGACCACGGCTTACAGCTCAGGGTAAAACGGATCAGCACTAAAGCGACCCCTCAGCTGAAGATGGGCTGCCATCCGGTGCCATCACCGGCATCTTCAGATAGTCCCTGTGAATCGCCTGAGTCTTTCGAGACATTGGCCTTCATAGGGAATCATTGTTTCGTCAGGCTTTGTTATCAAGATCCTGATCCCTAGAATCATTGCGGTGTTCGTAGGAGTGTCATGTCAGGAAACAAGTTAAGGAACAAATCGTAACAATTCTAGTCCTAAATACAAGGATCCCACCCCTGAGCAGAATACCCTTGACTAGCCTTCAGAAACCCACATGCAGGGCCCGTATTTTGAGAGATTCCCCACTCGATGGCCATAGCGGCCATAATATAGGGGCCTTAATAATTAGAAAAGGGTTTTGGGGCCCATTATACTATAATCATAAGAGGAACCCCCAAACAGTATTGGTAATTATTAAGGCACCTACACTAGCACACAATGTCGGTTGGAAAGAGTAGAGTTCAAGACTTCTGCATCATGAGCGTCCCGCAGCAAGGGCTCAACAAACCCTGAGCCATCTAACATTTGGGAGTTTCAGGCAACAGCGGACACTAGTTCAGACTCTATAAGTACGGACCCCTAATGAAGGTATCCACGATTCAGAATGGCTTATGAGGGAGCCCGGGGCTTCGTGGCTGCTGCAAGCATCTCAGGGACAAGAAAGTCGAGTAATTAGTGTCTTGGCGATGAGAGTTTAGGGTTCAGGGGTTTCACGTCTAGGGCTTTGCAACCTCCCTTCGCGGCACAGGGGTACGGCTCCGCTGCCAGACGGAGGCCAAACTGCGAGCTTTCCCCCCCAAATACCCTCGGTGCCAAAGTTCATCTCCACCAGTTCTGGCCCACCCTGAAGCTCAACCCGAACAGCCTCGAAACCCAAATCTCTTCTTGAAGCCCTTTCAGAAGCTGAGACCCCGAAAAACCCTGAAGGGGATCGGGAAGCTTCCAACAAGGCCCTGTGCCTCCATCTCGTCTTTCGACGCCTCAATGTCGAAGAGCGTCAGCACCTGATTACCCAGAAGTAATAGTCATAAGTTTAGCTGAGATACAGTAGTAGTAGAGGTAGTAGTAGTAGTAGTAGTAGTAGTAGTAGTAATAGTAGTAGTAGTAGTAGTAGTAGTAGTAGTAGTAGGCGCCCCCCCTACCAACTACACTTGCTCAAAACCATCTCAGGA